GTTTCGACGCTGTGTCGACACATTGCCCAAAATGTGTCATTCTTTGCTGCTTGGGTATTGTCTTAAGTTTATATGATTTTATTTATTTTCTGTGTTATTTTATGTTTTTCATTTATTTATACTATTATATGTTTTCTGTATAGCATTCTGGCTAATAAAGATATTATTATTATTATTATTATATTATTTTATACAATAATATTACTTCTGGGCTTTCAGCGTTTTTCTATATTTTTTGAAAAAAATTAAATTTTTAAATTAAGTTTTTTCCGAGATCCATTTACTTTTGTAAATGCATAGTCTACTAAGTAATTTAAAAGCAACTTTCTATTAAAATGCTGGAAGCGCTCTCTAGCCTACCGCGGTGGTGGCAAAAAGTATTAATATTCACTAATAGTTATCAGTAATTAATTTAAAATTATTAATTGTTATTAGTAGCTTTTTAATTGATGGTTTCCATCACCAATGTATGACAATATTTAATACAATGATATTTCTTCTGGGCTTCCAGCGTTTTTCTATATTAAAAAAAAAATTGAATAATTTTTTTTTCGAGATACATCTATTTTTGAAAATGGGTAGTCTACTAAGTAATTTAAAACTAATTTTATATTGAAATGCTTCAAACTAAAACACTTTTCACAAAGCTCCGTATGAGTTAGGGATAATGTATTAACTGAAAAAAATAAACAAACCATATTTGTTGCGCCTAGTAGCACTTGATTTAAGATTTATTTGAAAGACAGAACGGTAAGCTATTAAAAAAACCTAAACACAAAGTGTGACAGTGAGTGACATTTTTTAAAACCTTAATAATGTCCATACATACATTAAAAGTATGCAGCGGTTAAAAACTGAAAAAAATAAACAAACCATATTTGTTGCTCCTAGTAGCACTTGATTTAAGATTTATTTGAAAGACAGAACGGTACCCAAGCAGCAATTTGTGCCCGAACTTGGGCACGACACTTTTTGTTTCCAAATTGTTTCGACACAAATCGGAAAACTTATGTCTAAATGGAAACTGTGTCCATTCTTCAAATTTGTGGTTGCTTTGGGTCGACACCTTTTAAACCAATTGTGTCCAAAAAAAGTATGGATCTAAGTAGCATTATTTCAGAAATAAGTGCCCAAGTTGCGTCGCTTTTGTGCCCTCTTGGAAACAGTAACACAATTTAGACTCATTAGGTTCGACACTTAGTCGACTCAATGTTTCCATATTGTACCTTATCAATCTGTTTTCATTTTATTACCAAATTGAGTCAAGTGGACGCAAAAGTTTCCATTTAGCTGCATTTTAGATTCATGGTGTCTGATTTGTTTCAAAAATGTGTGGGGCGGGCGCATTAGGTTCCAAAGGGACACATTGTGTAATTCGCCATATTTTTTTGTTGAAACAGATACGACGCTTTAATTTTTTTACATAATTTAACTTTCTGGTGAAATTTAAACTTAAAATTTTAAAAATGCAAAGTTTTAAATTACATAGAAGGCACATACCTACGTCTAGTTTTGATAAAAATATAGGAAAAAAAATATTTTTAATAAAAAAAAATTATAAATACTTATTATTTGTGAGGCCCTATCAATTTTTAAAAGTATTTTGCTTATAATCACCAATAAAATTTTGTTCGCAATAAAAATGAAGGTAACATATACCAAAAATGTTAGATTTAAGTTATAATGTATTTCATAATATTATATTATATACATAATTATTAATAAGACATCACGCCTTACTTTGCCTCTTTGTATCTAGTTTGTTTCCAATTCGTTTCCAATTAAAAATAGTTAGTGTCCATTTGGGTTTATTTTAGGACACAATACAGTACTTGGCAACAATTCGGAACAAATGGTGACCATTTGGTAACATACAAATTAGAAACTCTTTGGGCATAAATCGGTCACACTACCGGGCACATTGTGGGCAAATTAAAAGAAAAAATCGGGCACATTTTGTGGGCAAACTATGGACACTTTTTGGTACAACTTTCATCACCACTTTGGTCTCATTTTCCACACTTAGTGGTCTTAAAGTGGACTATGTGTCTTTAAAATGTGTCGTGTCCAAAATCATGTTTCGACGCTGTGTCGACACATTGCCCAAAATGTGTCATTCTTTGCTGCTTGGGTAAGCTATTAAAAAAACCTAAACACAAAGTGTGACAGTGAGTGACATTTTTTAAAACCTTAATAATGTCCATACATACATTAAAAGTATGCAGCGGTTACTTTATTAAGGTAGTGACAGTACAATAATAATAAAAACTATCCATTATTCGTTCCAGCCATAACGTATGACAATATTTAATACAATTATAGTCAAAAAGTAAGAATAAATTAATAATAAACATTGTAAGAGAAGCAATACCTTTACGCGCAATTTATCAACAGGAAGCAAGTAAGTATAATTCCTAAACTTTGAATGGTTACCTGATAAAAATTGAACAGATTTGAAGGTAATTTAAAGATGTTTTATTATCTACAGAGATTAAAGAATTCAAAATTCCCTTAATTTGGTCGAAATAAAACACTTACTTATTTAGAATTTCTTCGCGCTAGAAGCGCGCTCTAGCCTACTGTGCGACGGACTAATTTACTTCATTATAATCTTCTAATTTTTCACTTCATTTCAAAATATGCACACCTCTAATTCATTCCTCACGGCGCGCCGCGGCGTCCCAACAATTTCTTCCTGACCCTTCTTTTGTGCTATCATGATCTTCAAATTTTGCATATTTCATTTTATTTTACATTTTGCACACCCCTACATCAACCCGAACAAAGGTCAAAAAAGGTTTGAATTGACCTTGAAAATTGTACATTTAAGTGCACGTGAGTGTTTTAAATTCGTAGGTATGTAAAATGCGGTTTTTTTAAACCTGCCTAAATTATATGTGTCTCTTTTTATTTTTTGTGTGCCTATGTTGTCAATTTAGTAGAAGGGTAGCAAATATTAGCAAATAAAATTAACAACAAATTAATTTTAGGCTCAGATATATCAATTTATTTTAAACTTGACAAGGTAGTCTGATTCTAATGAATTTATAACTTTTGTAACTTAATTAAATTAATTATAATTGTGGAGCAATCAGACAAGAGCAGATAAATCCAGTTTTGTTGAAAAATGAGTTAGGTATGGACTAACAGTAAATGAGGTAAGAGGTAAGATTAATCCATTGGTGAAATCAGAATTGGGCTAAACCAAGCAATTGATATAGAATACATGTCTCGAAACCTAGCAAATCAAGCAAAAGCAGATAAATACAAATTAATACAATTTAAATTCTTGTTTCAATGAAAATAAGATAAATTATTGTTATTTTAAAGTATAGGTCAATGAATAAAACGGTTTTTTATCCCTATTCTAAGCAAATAAAGATAAATCCTTTCAATTCAAGCAACACTAGATAAATCCATTTTGTTTTTTACTATAACACATGATGCAGGTGGATAAAAAATTAAAAATGAGTTTTTAGGTCTTATAAACCGTATACTCTATTGAATACATGGGTTGTTCTTTGTGTAAATGTTGCAGAACGAAAAATATTAGTTTTTCCTTGATAACTCGAAACTAAAAGGGCATGCCCTTAAATGCATATGATTTTATTTTTGAACAAAATATACATGAAACGTTTTCAAATGGCTAATATAACATAGGAAAAATAATTTAAAAAATCCAAATCGAATACAAAAATGTATTTTGAAAAAAAAGAAAAAAACAATATGTATACATTGCTATAGCAAATTTCTCATCCATCAGACCTTTTTTGATACTCATGCTACAAAAAGATATAGGACTTGGTGCATATTGTTGCAAATATACTACAATCAGTATTTCAGAAAAAAGAAAATCAACAACTGTTCGTTTCATCAATAATATTATTTACATAAAAGTACATAACTTACTCATATATAATACTATAGAATACTGTCATTCAAACGCAATTTATGGCCATCCGTCAGATAGGTGTTCTAACCGGAATATTACTTTTTTACGATTTTCTTGCTCTTTTCCGTTAAGAATATCTAAAACGTTTATTTTCATGAATTATAATAAAATTATTTTAAGTAGGTAACAAAATAATCCTATAGGATATACCGAAATAATTTTTTGACGTTTTTAAAAACCAATTATCTATTATTATTATTATTATTATTATAGAATAATACAAAGTATTTTTTGTAAGATTTATGTTTATTGCTAAGGCATTGTTGGGGCATTATTTTTACGTCAAAAAATAGGCCAACAATTATATATTAAGTTTACGGATCTCGATAACAAACGATAGATCGATCGTAAATTAAAAATAATCCTCCAAATATTTTTTTAAACATGTTGCCATTTGGAAATTTTCATTTTTTTACAGAGTTTTTTTAGTACACTCCTTTTATACTCCTGATTATTATAATCGCCCCTCAAATACTACTAATATATACGTCAGAGGGCTCAACCCTTGGATGATTTTAAGGCAAAAAATTCAACAATATCAACTTAGATCTTTATTCTGGAGATGTAGGTTATTCAAAATTTAAAAAAAAGTCTTTTACCGAATCTATTACCACAAGAACGAGATTTTTTTATTAAATTGGAGAAAAGTTGCTTCGGGACCTTAATTTGACCCTTACCAAGAATCCATCAAAAACTTTTCGATTATTTTATGGTTTACTAAAAGAGATCATATTAAATGTACATAATATTGCTCATTATAGTCTGGCAGTACATACTCATTGATGTGAGAAAAGTTACCATTTCCTTTGTAAAGTAATCCGTAATATTTTAATAGAAATGTTATGATTTCGTATTAATTTGATTACTGTTATGTGCATGAATGGTTACTCTTTTTTCTTTGTGAGACCGCGTTTGCTCACAATGGACCAAAACAACATGTTGGTTTTTAAAACGCTATTGGAGCTGTTAAAGTATAAACTTACTTAAATTTACTATTTAATTAATTGTCATGCATTTAATACTCTAAATACTCTATTTTTGATTGCAGGTTTTTATATTCTGCATAAGTTCCCCCATCGGAAAGCTCTTCTCCTAGCATTACTGACAGCATTTATTATTGTTGTTGTGATATTATTAGCAGTACTATTAAGTAGGCGTCCTAGTCAATTGACAAATAGTGAAGGTAGGAAACATGAAAATGAGGTTTTGGGTATACCACCTTATCAAGTAGGTAAGAATGAATATTTTTATAATGCATGCAAAAATTTTAATTACTTGTATTTGTTTTTCCTGTTCACCTTCAATTAAATAACATTTTTAATACCCATTTAAGGTTGTAAAATTAAAAATAAACATTATTAAAATATTTATATTAGTATTTGTATTGTATAAATACGTATAATATTTAGATGTATTGTATTAAAATGTTTTAAAAATTTACCTACCTACCTCAATTTATTCGCCTTGACGTGATATCAATATTAATATTTTTATAATGTGTCAAAAGTTATCTGCTCACTATTGCCAACTTCGTTATGATTGGAGCTTGTTTTTAAAATAAAGTAGTAATTTGGTGCTAATTTAAACGAGTTTGTAACGAAGTTAAAATGGTAGTAATGGTGAGGAGATAACTTTAAACACGGTGTATATTAGGGTTTCCGTTATTGATTGTTTTTACTTGGGTATCTAAATTATTTGTACAGACAATTATTTATACATTCAATGTTTCGATTTGTTATGTTACCAAACTTCGGTAGGATTTAAAATATACATTTTGATTGTTATTTTAATACAATTTAACTATAATTATCGTTAATTATAAGAGATTAAAATAATGATTTTATTGTAAATGTTTTAAAAGCAGAGACAAATATAAAAAATATGAGTTATAATTTTTAAGCCAACAACAAATCTGAAAAAAATATTTATCATTCATTGCAAGTTGTAACAAATTTTTGAGGTCGTTGAATCGATTTTTGACAATGTTTTTGCTTTTTGATTAATATTGGAGGGTGGGGGTGATATATTTACAAGGCGTAGATTTCATTCGATATGTTTTTGAGGTCTCTAAATCCATTTTTGTCTTTTTTTTTTGCTATATAAAAGTACATCGAAGAGAGGGGAAGTTTGGCTTTAAATCATTTGACATGTTTTCGAGGTCGCTGAATCCATTTTTGTCAATAATTTGGCTATAAAATAAGGTGGTTAAAATAACATAAATGTGTCCTTGAATCCATGGAATCGACAGCTCGTCGCACATCTTTTCTTGGAATGAAAACACCTTCAATTTTGAAGTGAAGGTGTTCAACATCTTGCGCATCTTTCACAGTACCTCATAAAAATAGTCCATTGGTGTAAGACAATGCGAACGGAGGGCCAACGTTTCGCACCATTAGTGCCCATCCATGAATTTGAAAAGCGCGCATCCAAAAATTTATGATTTTTTACAATGTTGAATCACTGACCCCACATTCTGGAGCTACTTTTCTACTGATATTTTCTGGATCCATTTTATTTGGGCCAATACGTTTATTTCATTAATATTCATATATCCTTCTATGATACCCTCCACGCGGCTTTCTGAAAGTGCCATAAATGGACAAGTTTCGTGAACTCTTGGCGACAACTGTACGATGAGGTTGTTGTTTTGCATACAGATTCGCGTAATTGGAAGCTGCTGCCACTGAACTTTTTAAACAATTTTTCCCAATTACGCTATGTTTTTTTCATAATTAGATTAGATTAAAAATCTGTATTTAATAATTTGTAATATTTTGCTATATACGATAATATTAATACGCTTAAAATAATAGTACCTAATGTTTTAAATTGGTATATGATAATATGACATATGAAAAACTTTAATATATATTTTGTTATTTTTGTAGATCAAAACCTAACCCTTACGGGTAAATTAAGAATGGTAAGTAGAGTGGAATGGCTTGCTCAACCAGCTGTGGATAGCACACCCTTAAAAACCCCGGTACCACTTGTAATAATCCACCACACAGCCACTGAAAATTGCTCTGCTTATGGACAATGCGTGCTTCAAACTAGACTGATTCAAGATTTTCATGTACAAAGCAGACAATGGTGGGACATAGGTACAAAATATTTTTTAATATTAAACTTTTTATAAGTAAATTTCTGTATTTAACAACATAATTTAAATTTTTAGCCATTCGTGGTATAGGTCCCATCGAGGCCTCGATGGGACCTATACCTCCGCGAGGTTTAAACCACTTTAAAATCTTAGAGACTAACGTTCAATGTTATGTGGACGTTGTGTTGTGATTTTTTCCTTATCAGTCGTTATCAATAAGAAAAACGACGACGCGTTGCGCATGACTACCCTTTAATTATTATCCTTAGAGTAATTGCATCAAAAATGAAAATCCCTAAAAACCTTTTTATTGTAATCTAGAGGTAAAAACACATTGCGAAAATATTTTTTTATATTCCAAAAGTTCAACCCGGCCCCAAAATATCAAATTGAAAAAAAGGTACTTTTCAAACGTTCCGAACTCCCGCCATATTGCATGACGTCATAAGCCACAGCTGTCAGAAATCAAGATGTCAACAAATAATAAACACCGATAAAGTTTATGTTTAACATGGAAAACGCGAAACCAAAAATTGGTTGTAAATATTGTTTTGTGCCTTGTACAAATACAACCTGGAAAACTCCTGGGAAAAGGTTTATCACCGTGCCAAAAGGGAAAATAAGGATAAAGTGGATTAAAATAGCACGGCGCGATATCAAAACATCGTCACCGCAGTCAACATTTTATTGCTCATTTTAAGGATCATTTTAATGTAAGTAAAATAAAATGTCGTTTACTAGCTATATGGTTTGAATAGGTATGTTAAATATTAATAAACCCAAGAAAATACGGCTGAGCCGTAACTACTCCCAGTGTAGGGTCATAAACTTTGCTTTTGATAATTGAAGGGACAACTTTCCCAGGAGTTTTCCAGGTTGTATTTGTACAACAAGGCACAAAACAATATTTACAACCAATTTTTGGTTTCGCGTTTTCCATGTTAAACATAAACTTTATCGGTGTTTATTATTTGTTTACATCTTGATTTCTGACAGCTGTGGCTTATGACGTCATGCAATATGGCGGGAGTTCGGAACGTTTGAAAAGTACCTTTTTTCAATTTGATATTTTGGGGCCGGGTTGAACTTTTGGAATATAAAAAAATATTTTTGCAATGTGTTTTTACCTCTAGATTACATTAAAAAGGTTTTTAGGGATTTTCATTTTTGATGCAATTACTCTATTTGTGAGCGTTTTTTAATTTAAAAAAATCAGTGGTTTCCCCTCGGGTCCCATACCTAAGTATATCCTTTCTGTATGTACTTACTATGCTCCACACCCAAAAATCCCACTTTGAAATTTAAATGTAGAACGCAGCTTTACAATACAAAACAAAAATGCAAAAAAGAAATTAAAAATAAATATGTTAAATACGTTATGTTAATACATATGTTTTTACGTTTACTTAATATTACGTATGTAAACGTAAAAATATATTAACCCTAAACCGCGCCCGGTCATAGAGACCTCTAATTAAAAAGTGTCTTTAAATAGTTTTGAGGCAATATTATATGTGTACTTACTAGGTCGACAGCAACTATGCCACATGCATGGTGGCCAACAATTTTTTCAGGGTAATTACCCGATACGATTTCTTCAGCAGCCGCTGAGGAATTTTAATGTTTGTATAAAATTAACATTTTGCAATTAGCTTTTGTTTTAAAATATTTCGAAAAAAACTAAATACAAACATTAAAAATCCCTGCATGCTGAACAAATTTGTTTGGATCTGAACAATCAAATCCGATCAGATTCGATCATGTTTCCGTCTCTTGTTTCTGTGATCGGATTTGATAGATCCTGTTTTTATAATCTAATCGAGTCCTCAAATATTGCCGCATAGCTGGTCAAAGCTAGTTAGACTCTTTTGGGCCGCGACCGTTTGATAAAACCCACCACTGGGTGTGTAAGTGCATTGTGATTGCCGATACATCTCGCCGCTGTCCTGGTCACTTATTTTTTTATGAGTGAACAGTGCAGAGCTTGATGCGTGTCTTCCGTCACCGACTGCCTAACACTGATGAGACCCAACAGGTCGAAACAGTGTTGGTGGGTATGGTGTATTAGTCATTGGACCATAACATTCTGGAGACGCGCTTCGAGCCCGGCTCGGTGGCGAGATGGAAGGCATGTATATATATACATCTTCTCTTAACATTTTGTTTTTTAATTCACCGCGTTATCTTTATTTTTAAAAGAAATATACAGTTAAATATTAAAGAACTCCAGTTTAATACAAAAATGTAAAAAGAAAGATGGTAACAATAACAATAAAAATATGAACAAAATCAATAAAACCAACATTAAAGAATATTAATATCGCGTATTTTCGCCTCTACTTCTAATTACGGCTTCACATCGATGGCTCATACTCGAAACCAGATGTCTAATCTCGCCTTGATCAATGACATTCCATATTTCTCGTAGCATATTTGCTACGTCATCAAGGGGGGCAGGCAAGGGATCATGATTTCTTAGTCGTCTATCCATATTATCCCAAAAATGCTCAATGGGGTTGAGATCTGGACTATTTGCAGGCCAGTCTAAAGTTTTAACACCCACCTCATGTAAGTACTCTTGCACTTTATGGGCGGTGTGAGGTCTTGCGTTATCCTGCATCAGTAAAAAATTATTACCGATGTACGGGGCGAAAGGGACAACATGCTCAGATAAAATGTCCTCGATATATCGTACACTATTCATGGTACCTTCACGAACAATGACGAGTTCTGTGCGAGCTGTCAAGAAACTTCCTTCCCAAACCATTACAGAACCTCCATTAAATAGCGTGGTTTCACTCATGTTACACTGTGAAAATCTCTCATTTAGACGTCCGAGAACCCTTACTGAATAAACAAAACCTGGATTCGTCTATAAATAGTACACGCTGCCAATCCTCAATATTGCAGCCAACATGTTGTCTGACAAATTGCAGTCTTGCTCTACGATGATTTGCATTTAACTTCGGTCCTTTTACTGGAATTCTGAAGCTCAAATTCTGTTCCGCAAGACGTCTTCTTACGGTGGACACACTTGTTTGAATATTATGAGTACCATTAAGTTGTACCTGTAGACAGGCCCGTTCCTGGCGAGCGTGCAGTGCGTGCACGCACGCAGGCGCAACATTTCGGGGGCGCAAAATCAAAGACTCAATCAGTACTTTGTAACGATAAACTTTCTTGCATATGATACTTAAACATAAATTGGATAAAGGTTTCTGCCTTTTTTGCGTCGGCCGCTCTTTTTTTCTGTAGCTATAAAGCGCCTTTTGCCGCTTTGATATTGGCTGCTTATTTTGTTTTGGTCAAAATAAAAGGAGAGAAATGGTCATATTATCTTTAGTATTTGTTTGATAGTTGCAGTTGACGGTAGCAAAGTTTAACAGTACTCTCTAAAATAGAATTAGTCAAAAATGACTAATTCAATTAGTCTAATTGGCAATTAGTAATTGCAATAGCGAAAAAGCAACAACTAATAATTATTGTCAATAGTAATTTGTATCCCGGATATTTAACAGTCAACTCCTATGTAAAATTGTCCGCTGAATCCGAAAATGTCGACAAAAGTTATAAAAGTAGAACGTTTTTGAGATTTAGTAAATTTTCCATATAATATGGTATTGACTATATCTTAAAACTGCTTTACTTTTATAATTTTTGACGGTATTTTCTGATTCAGGGGAACAATTTTACATAATAATAAGCTGTTAAATGCCCGGAATACAAATAGCTGTGGACTAAAGTTATTAGTGACTGCTTTTTTACTTTGAAAACTAGTCAGTTTTAGAGAGTACGTCAACAAAAACCAGTTGTAGTTATTATATTGTTTAGATTGTTTTTTTTTTCTTTAGAGTATTTTTATCACTGACTATTTTCCTCGTCTTAATTTCCACCAATCACAAACGCGCAATTTTGAACTACAAATGGTTTCTATGTGGAAAAACTGTATGACAGCACCTGTCAGCAGTTTTTTCGAGTTTACCCGCGGCAAAACTTGACAGCTGTTGTCACCAAAAATTACAATTTATATTTTAATTTTTAACTTACTCATAAAATAGTCTTGTCAAATACCATTCGGGCATCTAACTATGGAAAAAATCGTTAAAACACAATGCTAAGTAATATTTATTAAATTACCAAACAAACAAGTAATATCATAAGGGCATCTATTTTTTCGAAAAAAATCAAAAAAACACGTTGCTAAGTAATATTTTTTAACAAAATGCATTCGTGCAGGTGCAAAAATCCTCGTCTTCGACTCGGATTTTTGTTGCCACCAGCACTCATGCTTCTTGTTAAAATATTACTTAGCAACGTGTTTTTTTGATTTTTTTCGAAAAAATAGATGCCCTTATGATATTACTTGTTTGTTTGGTAATTTAATTAATATTTTTTATACTTAATTTAAGCGGTTTTTTACATTTTCAATTACATATTGCCAGTTTGTCGCAAAATATATATTTTTTAAATTTTACGGCTTAAAATTCAAATATTTAATGTATTATATTTAAATATAAAAGGGGCGCACCAACGAATGCTGCACGCAGGCGCCAGACACCCCAGGAACGGGCCTGCCTGTAGATTTCTTGCTGTTACAAATCGTTTCCTCAAAGCATGCAAATAAACGATCATGTACGACTGTTGTCATTCGATGCCTTTCCTGCCCATCTCGTCTGTTCGTTGGTTTTTTCAAAACGTCGAATCACGGGATATTGAGGTATGATTAACTCCCAATCTCCGAGCTATGGCACGGTAGCTTTATCCTTGCTAATTCTTACACATTAATCACGATTCAAATTACTCACTTGGCGCTCCATTAACAACTTAAATGAAAAGGACAGTTTCTGACCTACAATGACCTACCTATGTTAGGTTCTTTCATTTTACATTAAACTGGAGTTATTTCGTCTTTAACCGTATATCTCATTTAAAAAAATAGATAGCGACGTGAATCAAAAAACAAAATGTTAAGAAAATATAGGGCTACAGATTAATTATATG